GTTTCCTTCTCTGTTTATATACAGTAAATTTCATGAGTCACTAGAAAAATCTGTTGCATTTTCTGTACCACTCTGTGTGTGTGTGTTTGCAAGCTCAACTTTCTTTTTCTTTTTTTTGGGTATGTAAAAATAATGAAGAAGACACTGAATGGGCTGCCACCTGAGTACAAAAGTATATTGACAAAAAGCAACAAAGCCCTATCTGCATGAAGCAAAAGGACCCTACAAAATCCTAATTATGTTCTGTTCTGTGGTCAGGTTGATGATACCCCAAAATTCTCATAAATTTACTGTTTAGACTAAAAGAAGTCTACATCAAATGACCTTCCCATTCATTGTCCCCAAGTAATCCACATAACCCAAAGAACTGCCAAATTCCAAGCCTTCTTACTCTTTCTCACTTCCAATTATGAATAGAGTTAGTCAATGATGAAGGCAATCTTAACTTTATGACTTGATTTGCTTTGTTTTAAAGTCTTACCTGCCCCCTCCCCTAGTCTTTTCCAGATTTGTGTGTCTGCAAAATGGAATCCTGAGTTGTATTCTAAGTTGTTGCTTGTCTTCCAAAGGTTCATAATTATGCTTGCACTATTTAACACCTTGGATCCCATGACCTGAGACCTTGAATGGGGTAAGGGATAGGGATGGGTCAAAAATTAAATTAGTCAAAGGAGTGCAAAAAGGTCTCCAAAGGGTTGGATCAAGTCAAAGGGTCAAAAGTGGAAAGTCAATAAGGTGAGGCAGTTGCTCGAGCGGACTAACTGTAGACTCGACTTTCTTCGCGCGCCCCCTTTCGGAGAGCTCGAATTGGTCTTACAGTTTGGACTCCTGTTACGGTTCTGAATTTAATCTCACAAAGTGCAATGTGAGACTGATAAACACCAAAGAGTCCAAATCCGGCAAATTGTTTTGGAAAATCGATTTTGAATCAAAAAGCGCCAAACATGAACTGCTTTGCCAGATTATAGAGTCGTCACTTAAATATTTTGTTTTTGGGAAATTTAGGAAACCCCGACTTGTGTCAAAGACCACGTGTCCGTCATCACCAAAGTTACCTTGGCTCGGGAACTTGGGTGCCTCGGCTCGGGAACTTGGGTACGAGAAAGGAAGATCCTGAAATGAGCACCCCCACTCGCCCGATCAAAGTATCGGCCTCTACTAAGCATGATATGTTGTTTGATAAGCACATGTGTTCTTATTCTGATTATTAGCCAACTTTACTATGTGACGCACACAAAGCAAGTATAGACTAGATCGCAAGAATTGGCACAAATCAACTCTTGTTTGTTTTCAAAAATGTTTTGAAAGTGCCACTCGTAAGTGGGCTAAAGTGCGGATTTGCCACCCTCAAGTGGGTTTAAAACATGATTCTGCCACTTCGCAAAGCGGGCTTAAAATTCACAATTATCGAATTGTCCCAATTCAAGCAACAAAGCCTTCACCCACAGGCATTCAAGCAGTTTAGCAAGTAAGCAAATAGCCTCATGACAAGTATGCTATCATGGCAACACTCACACTCATGCAAGCGTGCTAAAGTATAAAATTTACAGTGTACTCCAAGCTAAAACAAAAGCTAGTTCGAAACAATGTATGATCCTAACTATACAAGATGCCTAATGCAACACATGCAACATAAAATTAATAGGCTCGGCTACTAATATGGCATATGAATGGAACAACTTGATAACATGACATATTCAAGGAAGTGTATTGAAATACAATACAGTTTGAATGATGCGCCAAGCCCAGTGCATGCAGGACAAATGAATGATGTAAACATGCAAGCATAAGGTATGCTAATCAAAACGTGCCCTAAACTAACCATCGAAAGCGGTTAAGTACAAGGGAGAAAGAAATGGGGTTGGAAGACACGCACACACGCACGCACGCACGCACCCTTATTACAACATTGTGTCCTCGCGAAGGAGGGTCCGAATAAATAAGTTAAGCTAAACTAATTATTACAACACAAAACGAAACTAATTAAGTATTCTAGCTAATTAATTATTACAAACCGAATTGAATAACTAGCTATGTGAAGCTAATTAAAATATTACAAAACAGATTAAACTAATTAATTACAACACTTGTATTAATTAGCTTCAATTAACTAATAAAGCAGTTAAAGTGGCCTCGCGGGCGAGGGGGACATGCATGCTCGGTTGGCTTCCTCCCAAAAATTCATCGCCTCACCAAAGGTTGCCTCTGTTTGCACTCGCCGTGATTTCTGAAAATTGCACCAACTTCCAGACTGCTTCTGATCCAAAACAGGAACACTTTTGCACAAAAATGGATTGGTGGCCGGTCGGCCACAGAAGGTGGTTGCCGGCCACCTTAACTGGCCGGTCGGCTAGTATAAGTGGCCGGTCGGCCACCCCTTTTTCCAGGCTTCTGGTTTTGTTGCAACAGAGAACAACAGAGGCAAAGCAATGCACTTTTCAAGGAATGTGTCTACTGTCACCCTCCTTATCATTTCTCAAGCTCAAAGGAGTATGGCACTTGGCTCTCAAGCCACCAACCAAGCATTTTCATGCATGATGGCCAAAGAACCAAGCTTGTATAAGCTTAATGAATGCACAGATAGACTCAAAGGGCCACCACCCTATCATGCATGATCAAGGGTGACGGCGACTGAGAAACGTGGCACGTTTCATCACTTTGAGTATGAAACGTCCTCCATTTCTCGTGTTTGGATTAACGTCCGATCCAAACACATACAATGCAACACAAACATGCTTATTATCTTGCTCAAGTTTTACTTGTCGTGTTTTATTTACTCATTTTAGATTACCGATTAGTCTTTTAACCGATTAAGTCCAAAGTGAGAGTCCTCTAATTAGAAAGAGGGTCTAAGCCACAAGAGCCTTGAGCATGAAAGAGAGCTCATGCTGTTGGTTAGTGGAAACCCTCAAGAGATGATTAAAATCATTAGGCATGAGAGTCACAATTTCATACTCAAGCCAACAAGGGGCTCAAAGCTATTTTCAAAACAAATTGAAAAGTGAAGAATAGGGGGAGGTTGCAGACTTTTCAGTGCTGATATGGTATGCAAAATGACACTAAATCATGCAAGCAACACATGCACAACATGCTACGAGCCAAAAGCATTTTTGTATAAAAAAGTATATGATAGTATTATTACAGTTAGTATTACTTTCCCCCTCACTCCCAATAATGTAATGTGTTGGATGTTGCTCGAATCAAAAATTTGTAGAGATTAAAATTGAGGGTTGTTTTAGCAATAACTTAAAATAGTAAAAAAATCAGAAAGTCAATTCTTCTACTTGTACTTTATGCACTTTTTATGTAAGAAGTAAAAAAATTAATTAAAATAATCTCCTCACAAAACAACTTTAAATTTGAATATTAAATTTAGAGAGATTTTTGTAGAGTGAATTGAAAAGGGTAGACACTTTCTATTATTTTTCTAATATTATTTTTCTCTACTTTTTTTCCCTCACTTGCTATGCACTAGTAGTAGGGATTGACTTTAAAGTGATAGCAAAATTAAGAAATAAAATTAGTTTCTTCACTTCATAATTTTTTTAGTTTTTCCTTTTCGTTTTTTTACTCTATATAATTTCACTAGTAAATCTATATCTAAAGATAGCCTGAATTGTTCTAAAAAAAAAAAAAAAACCTGAATTCATAAGTAGAAACAGTCTTTATCATGAATAATATTAGAAATATTAATTAATGTATAAATAAGTATGTTAGGTGGTATTTTGATTAGTGTTCTCATTACTGATCTTTTACATCACTTTCTTTCTCATTGTGTACTATTATTCCAATTTTTTTAATTATATTTTTATCCTTAAATCATTATTTTGAATAAAATTCTACTACCAAATTTCTTCTTACACACCTTCCCCATACACTACTATCACCACCTTCCTCTTTTGCTGATTGCTTTCCACATTTGGTCGTTGTCCCCAAGGTCCCACTACCACTACCCCAAGCCCTTTTCGCTACCACCTCTTACCTCTGCAACCATTGCCATTGCAACCCTTTACCCACACTTGTGACCATCACCGCAGTGACCCACTACCCTGACGATGTACACGCTGCAATAAAAGAGAGATATCACAAGATGTGGTAGAAGGGGTTGTGATGGAAAGGAAGTGCTAAAAAGGAGTAGTGACGAGAAGAGTAGGCAATTCGAGAGGGGTGTTGCCGATGGTAGTGATTAGGGTTACAGTTAAGATTAGGGTTAGAATTAAATTAAAGCTTGAGAGTTGGAAAGGATGACAGTCTTTTGAGATTTATTAGAAATTAGTAATGGTGCGAGTTGAAGACAATTAAACAATTTAAAATGGGTAAAACCTTGCAACCTATAAATTTAATCAAAAGTAGACCCTTACCTATCTATATGCATCCCTCAAATCGTCCAAAATCATTTGGGTAAAATAGGGTTGGGTCTGGCGGTTTATGCGGGTTAGTTAATCTTATACCAACCCCTAATAATATATATGACAAACCCTACAAAATAAACGATTTGAATTATCGAAGAAAAACTCATGATGAACTCTATAACTCTCTCAAATTCTATCATATTGGGATCTCAACACTCAAAATCTAACTACTTATAAAAAAATTAAAGGGTAAATTACACTTACAACTCCTAGGATTTGGATTTAATACATATCATCTCTGACGTTTGAGAAATTACACTGATTCTTTTATCATTGTAATTATTTAGACGAAATTAATGTTGGTATAAAAAAAGATATTGAATTCATACTCTCTCTTTTCTTATTTTGCTTTAAGTCTTTTGTTTTTATTTTTTTCCTTCGCTTTAATTTTTTTAAAATATAATTTTTATTTTTATTTTTATTTTTCTATCAAGAGTTATTTCTTCTTATATACGGAGCTATTTATGAAATGAGTCTATTAATAACGTGAATGAAAATAATTTCTATATTATTAGATGGTGGTGAAATGTAATCCGATCAAACATAAGAAAGTGTCGGTGTAATTTATCCAAAACTAAAAAATCAACTAAAATGGTAAACTTCCCAAACCAGCTAGATGAGAAAATGGTGGGTAGTTTCCTTTGACTTCATTTTGTGACTGCAAACTCCATTACTATTTTCTCTCTCTCGTAAATCTTAAAAAATGTCTCCTAAACTGCCCTCTCTCTCCTCCCGCCCCACCCTCAATCCCTAACCCTCACACCATCCATTCGACTAAATTCCCCAACCAAAAACCCAACAATGGACGGAAGCATTCTCGAATCCATCGGACTCGAAATCATCGGAGTCATGGCCCCAGTCTCGATCTGCATGCTCTTAGTCGTCCTCCTAGTCTACTCCCTCTCCTCCTCCTCCTCCTCCTCCGCCGCCGTACCCATCCGCACCGCCGCCAATCTGGTCTACCTCGAAACCCCCTCCGACTCCGCCACCCAGAAACTCGAAGGCGCTCTCCTCAACGCCCTCGTCTTCGTCATCATCATCTCCATCGTCACTTTCCTCCTCGTCCTCCTCTACTACTACAACTTCACCAATTTCCTCAAGAACTACACTCGCTTCTCCGCCTTCTTCGTCCTCGCCGCAATGGGAGGCTCAATCTTCCTCTCCATCATCCAACATTTCTCAATCCCAATCGATGCCATCACTTGTTTCGTCTTGCTTCTCAATTTCACTGTTGTGGGTGTTCTCTCTGTGTTCTCTCGTGCTGTACCCATTTTCTTGAAACAAGGGTTTATGGTTGCTTTGGGGATTATTGTGGCGGCTTGGTTTACCAATTTGCCTGAATGGACCACTTGGGTTTTGCTTATTGCACTTGCTTTGTATGATTTGGTTGCGGTTTTGGCTCCTGGGGGGCCTTTGAAGATCTTGGTCGAATTGGCTTCGAGCCGGGACGAGGAGCTTCCGGCATTGGTGTACGAGGCTCGGCCAACTGTGTCAAGAAATTCGGGAGTTCGGGGTTCAAATTTGGGTCTTTTGGTTGGTGGGTTTTCAGATTCTGGTTCGGTGGAGCTTCAGGTAGTGCCTAGGAACAATGAGAGCGATTTAGAGAATTCAGATTACACTGCTGTTGCAATTCGAAACCAGAGTGAAGTTGGGATTGGGCGTGAAGAAGGGGGAGAGACATCTCCATTGGTTCCTAATTCTAGGGAAAGGCGGTCATCAAGTAGTGGCTCTTCAGAGTACTCAGTGGACACTTCTGGGCAATATGGGCATGGTCATGGGCAATCTGAAATTGTGGCTGATGAGGAAAGGTCTCCTCTTGTTGAATTGTTGGGTTTGGAGGGTGAGAGAGAGCCTGTAGGGGGGGATGGGTCCGATACCTTTGTAACGGCTACGCGTGGCATAAAACTTGGTCTTGGGGACTTTATTTTCTATAGTGTTCTTGTGGGTAGAGCTGCAATGTATGATCTAATGACTGTTTATGCTTGTTACCTAGCGATTATATCAGGACTCGGGTGCACTCTTATTTTGTTGGCTGTGTGCCGCCACGCTCTGCCTGCTCTCCCAATTTCTATCATTTTGGGGGTCGTGTTCTACTTCTTGACTCGGTTATTAATGGAACCGTTCATTGTTGGGACTTCCACGCATTTGATGATGTTTTGATCTTCTGTTTTACTTAAAAAAACACTATGACTTTGAAGATGAAGCGATATATACCGGTCCATGACAATATCCTCTTTGTGCTTTTGTGACTTTGTCAATTGTCATGACCAAAGTTTGGGATTGGATGATTCATACTCCAATACCATCCGGTATCACATTGAGATGTAATTTGACTAGCTGCCCAGGTTGGTCTACCAATACTTCTACCCCTAATTTTTTGCTGTTAAAGTGCCTTGTGATATCTGCTTCATTTGATTTTATCTCAGCAGAAATGTATTGATTTGATTGTAACCGCATACTGTAGTAAACATTAAAAGGTATATATATCCGGGTATTTCTTAGTTGAATTGGATTCTCTAGGCGTTTTCTTATTTTGCTGGCATGTTTCTATTCCATCAGAGGTTAGCTCTTTATTTTTTAAGCTGGTTCATTGTACTTTCGAATGTCCAAGGTTGAAATTGATGTTCAGCAACTATGGGTTATGAATTATCAATTGTCTAATATGATGCATCTCCTAATTTGATTTTAATATCTCATTCTATCCATCAGTTTGCTAACTCTTGAACATATTAAATAGTAGGGGGGGATGGGTCCGATACCTTTGTAACGGCTACGCGTGGCATAAAACTTGGTCTTGGGGACTTTATTTTCTATAGTGTTCTTGTGGGTAGAGCTGCAATGTATGATCTAATGACTGTTTATGCTTGTTACCTAGCGATTATATCAGGACTCGGGTGCACTCTTATTCTGTTGGCTGTGTGCCGCCACGCATTGCCTGCTCTCCCAATTTCTATCATTTTGGGGGTCGTGTTCTACTTCTTGACTCGGTTATTAATGGAACCGTTCATTGTTGGTACTTCCACGCATTTGATGATGTTTTGATCTTCTGTTTTACTTAAAAAACACTATGACTTTGAAGATGAAGCGATATATACCGGTCCATGACAATATCCTCTTTGTGCTTTTGTGACTTTGTCAATTGTCATGACCTAAGTTTGGGATCGGATGATTCATACTCCAATACCATCCGGTATCACACTGAGACGTAATTTGACTAGCTGCCCAGGTTGGTCTACCAATACTTCTACCCCTAATTTTTTGCTGTTAAAGTGCCTTGTGATATCTGCTTCATTTCATTTTATCTCAGCGGAAATGTATTGATTTGATTGTAACCGCATACTGTAGTAAACATTAAAAGGTATATATATCCGGGTATTTCTTAGTTGAATTGGATTCTCTAGGCATTTTCTTATTTTGCTGGCATGTTTCTATTCCATCAGAGGTTAGCTCTTTATTTTTTAAGCTGGTTCATTGTACTTTCGAATGTCCAAGGTTGAAATTGATGTTCAGCAACTATGGGTTATGAATTATCAATTGTCTAATATGATGCATCTCCTAATTTGATTTTAATATCTCATTCTATCCATCAGTTTGCTAACTCTTGAACATATTAAATACCTGTGCACTTGTGAAAGTAGAGGTTTATAGTTAGCGAGTATAGTCTATGCTACATGGATTGTTCAAACTAAATCAAATACCCGTGTCGGACACCTGACATTCAGACAAAGGTATGAGATATGTGTCAGATACTTTTCGAAGGACACTTCTTATATAATTGTATATAACATTATTAGTATATGTAAATATTGTTCTATAATTGCTAGAAATATTTTTTTGACGCTGTAAGTTACATATAACACTATTTTATCTCACATACTTTATTAAAAATATAAAAATATGACATTTTTTTGCCTAGTCCGCGTACTTTTAAATTTATTGTTTTATGAGTCTGACCTCTAGATACATACTTGCTTAGAAGTATGGACACGGACATGTGACATAACATGGATACGGATACGGACACGCTGACATGTTAATTTTAAAAAAATGAAGGACCTTAGTTGCACGAAGCGGGAGCGGGAGCGGGGGCGGGGGCGAGGGCGAGGAATACTATTTTTTAAAAATAGTCCCAATTCTTAATAATTAAGAACCTACTAAAGATTCACCTCTATGAAGCACGGACACGGACACGGACATGCATACAGACACGGACACGAGACACGACAATTTCCAAAAAATTGGGACACGAACACGGCAGGGGACATGGCAATTTTTTTTTAATAAATATTTTTATTTTAATATACATTAATTATTTTATTTATTTATTTTCTTTTTTAAATAATGTGTTTTTGATAAATTTTCATTTTATATACATTTATTTATTTTTATTAATATGTATAAGTAAGTATATATTATGTTATATATACTTACAAAATAATATGATTTTATTAATATTATTAATATTAATATGATTTTATATATATTATCTTATATATACTTATATATATATATATAATATAAGAGATAAGAAAGAAAGCTGGACAGAGCCAGCAAAGAGAGAGAGACAGAGCGAGAGGGAGAGACAGACGCGAGACAGATGCGAGCGAGAGAGAGAGAGAGAAGACGAGTCGAAGGTTTGTCATCTCAATTGGATGTTCGACGACAAAGACGACTGGAGTCGAAGGATCGATCGATGCTTCGAGTCAATTGGATGTGCGACGACGACGACGAAGGTTCGATCGATACATCGAGTCAACTGGATGTTCGACGACGACGACGACAACGACTGGAGTCGAAGGTTTGTCTTCTCACTCTCTTCCTTCACACTCTCTCTCCTTTGTCTCTCTCTCCTCGCCGTATCTGACACTAACAAGCTAGGGTTTTTGTTCTTCTTCACCAATGATCCCATCTTGGCCAGTATCGCGTTTCTCTCTCTACGGAAACACGATTCCTACACGTTTCTTTCTAAGAAACGTGGAATCGCGTTTCTTACGAAGATTCGTCACCTGTTAGGACGATTCCTGCAACTAAGTGAAGGACACAACAAGTGGGTGACACGCATGAAATATATAATTTTCTATATTTATTATATGTTATATATATGAATATATTATTTAAAGATAATAAAACATGTAATGTGACACTAATTCTTATAAATTTATGTAGTTTTTGTTTTATTATTGTATCTTAAGTTGTTTTGTTAAAAATTATAATTAGTTTCACATATGTCTAATTGATATAATTGATAGAAATGTGTGTTAAGTGATTGACACGCGTGTCCTCCAAAGAGTGTCTGGGTCTTTAAAAAAATTTAAAAAATAGGATATATTTTGAAGAGTGTCGGACACGTGTTCTAAGAGTGTCCAAAGAGTGTCGGTGTCCGACACGGACACGATACGGATACGTTACCTTTTTAGAAGTGTTCGTGTGTCCTAAGAGTGTCCAAAGAGTGTCGGTGTCTGGCACGGACACGATACGGATTCGTTACCTTTTTAGAAGTGTTCGTGCTTCTTAGCATACCTGCACCCAACACCCATACCCGAGTCCATATAACATAGAGTAGAGGTTAAAAGCATATAAAGGTTAATGTATTGTTCTTCACATGGTTAAAAGCTTTAGTCTGTACAGTAGTTAATAATTAATGAGTAGCTCTTAACATTGCGACCTTTGGCGTTGCGGGTTTGAAATACAGAAACATCCTCTCCATCCCAGGTTAAGGGTACATACATTTGACCCTCCCCAGAGATCCCATAGTGGTAGCAGTCTCATGCACTAAGATGCACTCTAACATGCTTGAGAAAACAATACGTCATCTCTTTTTCTCCTCAAACAAGTGCATATTGTAAATTGAGTAATGGATAGTTCTTGTAATTTATTTTTGCCTCATTTCTTTTTCTCAAACCAGTGCATGTTGTAAAAGTAAGTAATGGATGGTTCTTGTAATTTACTTCTGCCATTTGGGAAATGCTTGTTGATTTGGTGAGTGCTTGATGTCCTTTCACATTCCGATTCATCTTGTAAGTTTTGGTGGGGGGCGAGAGTTAAGTGTTGTCCTCCTAATGATTTGGAATGTTTGGCTAGAGCAAAGTAGAAAAATCTTTGAAGATAAGAGTGGAAGTATGATTTTTTTTTTCTTTTTTTTTACTGGATAAAATCTAACCTCCAAGTCAAGTTGTTGTTCTGGGCATAGCAACCTCATAATTTAAGATTATTTTGTCTTTGATTTTTTGCGATTGATTTTGTATGTTTAAGTTGAGCTATGAGAAGAAGGCGATGAAGCTGTATGCCCCTTTAAAAGGCAGAATAAAGCCCAATATGGATAGGTGTCCTCTTCCCAAAAGTACCTTGCACCTCAAAATCCCAAATTTACCATTAAACAAACCCAATAGTTTGATGAGGAGACAATATTTGTCCACAAATGAGCATCTTCATTAACAATTGGAGACCAAACCTTCTTTCTTGTGTTCAATCCTAATACCCAACGGGTTAAAACCTATTTTTGGATTGGTGAATGATGTGGGATAGTTTTAGAAAACTTGGAATTACATGGCCTATAGTCTAAAAAGCATAGATATGTGACACAACACAGACACGACATGGACACGCCGACACATAAATTTAAAAAAAATATAAGACACAACATGTGGGGGACACGTGCAAAATATATAATTTTATATATTTATTATATATCATACATGAGGATAAATTATTATATTATATCATATATATGAATATTTAAGTCAAAATTAATAATTTTAAATCTAAAGGATGAGAATATGTAAAAATGTACATTGTTTTTTATTTTATAATTGGATTTCAAGTTATTTTATTCAAACTTGTAATGCGTTTCATGTGTGCTAAGTGTTGAGAAGTGTTCGATAAGTGTCATGTCATGCTAGTGTCGGATATAATACGTTACCTTCTCAGAAGTGTCCATGTTTCTTATCCTACAATTGATTTTGTGGTGGCTTTAGCTAAGGTAAGCTTGTAGTTTAGGGTTTTGAAAGGCAAAAGGGAGGTTCTAAAGTTTGTAGACCAAAGGGGGCTGAAATTATGCTTGTACTTCATATTTCATGAATATGTGTGTGAGTGTATGTCCAAGTTTTAGGATGGGGGAGCTTTGCTTGAAACTTGTCCAAGACTTGGGGGTACTAATATGGAACATGTCCTGCAAATTTGAATAAATTGGGTTTTTCATTGTGCATGATATTTTTATTAGAGAATATATTTGAATGGAATTTAAATTAACTAGAATGTGGTTGTAAATTGGGGTTTCTGTATCTTCATCAGAGAAGTAGGAAATCCTCTACCATAAAAAATGAGATTCTCCTTCTTTTCACCCATAGAGGATCGATCTATGCCTGATCATGTGTCCCATACATCCCATACCTATACCCAATTTATTTCTTGTTAACATGGGTTCATATTGGGGAACATGAAACTCCATATAACGAGTTTAAGGTGTTTGATTGCTGATTTTTAGAAAATTCTTGTTGGAAATATATGGTTAGGAGTTATGACAACTATTTTAAGGCTTCCATATGTACTTAGAAGGCTAGTGGAGATATTAAAAATGTTTGTAAAGTGTATTATATGACAAAATGGGGAATCCAATTTTGTATGTCAAGGGTTTGTTCATGTAGTAGTGTATATGGGTGTTCCAATGGAGATGTTAAAATGTGTTGTGGGACGCCAACTTTCATTCTCTCTCTCCCCTGTCCCTTCTCTCTCTTGACTGCTAGGGAGCTGGCTGCAGTTAACAACCAAGTTAAGGACTGATAGGTTTAAAAAAATTGGCTAATCCATCCACTGGAGCCCAAAATTGTAGAATTTGGTTGCTAATTGTGTAGCAGCGACACTAGCATATGTGGTGATGCCCAAAAAGGTAGGAGAAAGGACTTGCGATATAGGCTTGTAGGAGACTAAAGAAGGGACCAAAATTGAAAATTGACGATATGAATGTGGGATGTTTGAATAATTTCTGGAGTTTTGGACATAGGTTGGGTGGTTTGTTCAGTTCGAGTTATGTTATTAGTTTGTAATATATGATTTTTAATTGGGTTAGATAGATCTTAAGAGTCCTTAATTTTTAATTTTGGATTTTGGGGTCATAGTTTGTTTAGATTAGTAATTGTCTTACTGTACAAAGGTAATTCTTCTAACTGAGCAGATAAATTTCTAAAGCTTTGTTCCTTGTTGGGATTGCATGATGGAACCTTGACTCTCAGTGTGATACCTATGCGAATCTAGGTTTCATACCAATATTATGATGTGTGTTCTCATAGAACCCTATCTGGCAATATTTGAAATTACCTAACTATCCTGGCTCCTAGAACTTAATAAAACCATACCAGCAGAGCAGCACAGTAATCTAGAACTGATCCATTGTAAGAAT